CTCCACAAGACACGTGCATCGAGTGTAGAGTTTTTGGGTTTTGTGGAGATTTGCTTTGTGGTTAAGTACATGATTAATTTTGGTAAATATTTCGTGTGTGCCTGAAAAAGTAAATTTATTCTCAATACAGAGAATCCTGAAAAAGTAAACTTATTCTCAGTATAGGGAATATAGGTCCATTAAGTAAACTTGTCTAGTGTTAAATTTTGGTATTACATACATAAGAGTTTACAATTTTTCTCTCTTTCATTTTGTGCCTTTTGCGGTTTACAAGAGACCACCTAAAACATCTAGCTGACTTTTAAAAAGACCTAACCTCACCAATTCTTTTACATTTAAGTACATTTGTATGTTTTCTTTTTCTCTTTCTCTGCCTTCTTCCCTTTCTCCTGCATTCACATCTTTTTTCACTCTGCTATTTGGAAGCTATCCATTTCAGTTCTGTTATCAAAATTGCTCTTAAAATTTTTCCATGCATGTTTCACTTGACAAGGTCTGAAATTAATCACTAATCTCTTTTTTTCTCTGAACCTTAGAGTCTTTCAACTGCACTTATGCTTCCATCTTGTAGCTGGTTCAGCCTTGGTATCTGTGCACCCCAAGTTGGTCAATATTATCGTTTTATAGACACAGTGCTTTTCCAATGCTTCCCCATGTTAACCAGTATCTGGGTTCATGGTGCTTTGGCATTTCACCTCTTTGTTCCAAATCCAACTTTAGTTTTCCTCATTCCATCCTTCAGTAGCGTTTTTCAGTGCTGGTGTGTTAGTGCTGAGCTTCACAGTCTTCCTGCAATTGTCTGCATTTGAGTCTCCTTTTTTTTTTTTTAAGTTTATTTTTTTTTTAATTTTTTGATTTTTTTAACGTTTATTTATTTTTGAGACAGAGCATGAACAGGGGAGGGTCAGAGAGAGGGAGACAAAGAATCTGAAACAGGCTCCAGGCTCTGAGCTGTCAGCACAGAGCCCGATGCGGGGCTCAAACTCACGGACCACAAGATCATGACCTGAGCCAAAGTCGGCCGCTTAACCGACTGAGCCACCCAGGCGCCTCTTGAGTCTCCTTCTTGACCATGTGGGTTTAGGTATATGATTCTTGATGGACACCTATTTCCACCTAGCACTTTGAACATGTTATTCTCTCACCTCGGTTTCTTTTCTGTTGAGAAATCTGCTGCTCTTAACCAGCATTCCTTTGTAGGTGGCGTATCTCTACTTTCTAGTTACTCCTAGAACCTTCTCTTTGTTTTTATTCTGTGGATTTACTCTGAGCATCTGTTTTATCTGTCATGCTTGGCATTGTGCCTTTCAAGTCTGAGGATTCAGATCTCCCAGCAGTTCTGGAAAGTTCCCAGCTCATTTCTCTTCTAAGATGGCCTCTCCCATTTGTCTAATCTCTCCTTCTCAAACACCAGTGAAATATGCACCCTGCTTATCCCCATGCACACCTCAGATCACCCCTCCTCATATCTGTGGTAGGCAGAATTCTAAAAGGTTCCTAAGATTTCTGTCCCCCAGCACGAATGCCCTGTATAACCCCTTCCCCCCCGAGTGTGAACCCGCTGAATACAATGTCATGGCCACTGCCTTAAGTCACATTCGATGAACAAGGTGTCAGGGTGTGGCTCCCATCGTCGCCTTATATTCTGTAAGACTCCACCGTAGTAGGGCACGTGGGTGGCTCAGTCAGTTAAGTGTCCAATTCTTGGTTTCGGCTCAGGTCATGATCTGACAGTTCATGAGTTTGAGGCCCACATCAGGCTCTGTGCTGACAGCATGGAGACTGCTTCGAATCCTCCCTATCCGTCTCTCTCTGCCCCTCCCCTGCTTGCTTTTTCTCTCTCTCTCTCAAAATAAATAAATACACTTAAGAAGAAAAAAAAAAAGACCCCATCCTAGAACGCTGCAGTGAATTTCTCTCTCTGGCCTTGACAACGTGGCTACTGTGTTGTCAGGGGCCTGTGAGCTAACAGCAGCTCCAGGCCAACAGCCAGCAGGCCCCACAACTGCCAGGAAACAAATTCTGGCATATCGGGAGCTCAGAAGTGGATCCTTCCCCAGCTGAACCTCCGGATGAGAATGCAGCCCAGCTAACAACACCTGACTCACGGCCTCTTGAGACCCAGAGCAGAGGACCCAGCTGAAAGCTGCCGGGATCCCAGCCACAGAAACCGCAAGAGAATAACTATGCGTTGTTCTAAGCTGCTATGTTGGTGGAAATGTGCTGAGCAGCTACAACTGACACACCTTCTCTGCATCGGCCCTTCCTTTCCCACTCAGCTACGGGGCTTTACGCATTTTGTCCTGTGTGGAAATCTGTTCTTTCCGTGGGCACTTAGTGAATTCATGCTCGCTCATCCCTCAGAACTCAGATAACACACCCAGGGAAGCCCTTCCTGACGCCAATCCATCAGATCAAAGCTCCTTTTCACACGGACTCAAAGCCCCATGGACACATCTTCATTTTCAAGCCTTAATTGTAGCTGTAATTTTAATTTATTTTGGGCTCTGCCACTCTGATTTAAGCTCTCTGAGCTCAGAGAATCCCATCTGCCTCATTTCAGGGCTGGGGACTCAGCACAGAGCACCCAGGCCTGGCCCGTCACAAATATCAGACAGACAGAAAGCTGAATGAATAGTGCTTCTATATTCGATGCTAAACAGCATCGGGCCCCTTCTGTGTCCTAATGACAGTGATGACAAGACAATTCGGAGAACACAGGAATCCTTAGAAAACCCACAGGCTTGGGGGAGTAGCAGGGGCAGCTGGGGCTGAATGAATATAGTGTGTGTATTTGGTTGGGGGGGGCGATGCGTGTCAATGAGCTCATACACTAAACTTGAGTTTCCAGCCCTAATCACAGAGGTGAATCTTGGTGTCTTTGTCCCTAAAACATTTCATCAAGTGATTCTTAGAGATCCCCTGGCTCCTCAGAAGGCAATTCGGCTCAAGTGTGAGAATAAAGGGGTAAGTGTTACACAGCCTCACTCCCCGCCACCCCCGCACATCTCCCCTTTCTCCTCAGCTCCAGATGGCGGCGGGGAGGCATGGAGTGGCCATTCCCGGCAGGGACACACTCCCTTGAGGATGGAGTATTCTGGCTGGGCCCCAGCATAGGGTTCCTGCCTTAACAATAAACATACAGCACAGTCCGAGCAGAATTGCCAATCCACAATACTTTTTTTTTTTTTGCTGCACGTCCCAAATGTTGCACAAGGCGCGTTAGGGGCTGTGTCAATCGGGGTTCTCCAGAGAAACACAGCCAACGTGAAGGCTGGCGAGCCCGCGATCCGCAGGGCGGACTGGAGACCCAGGGCAGAGCTGATGCTGCAGCTCGAGCCCCCCAGGCCGCCGGGAGGCGGCATTCCTAGTCTCCGAAGGCCTTCAACTGATTGCATGTGGCCCACCCGCAAGAGGGAGGGTCACCTGCTCTACTCAACATCTGCTCACTGCAAAGGTAGTTACGTCTAACCATTACCTCCACGGCAACTTCTAGCATAATGTCTGACCCGTCCACCGGGCGCCACAACCCGGCCAAGAGGACACGTAAAATTAGCCAGGCCAGCGACACACTCGTGCTGCGAAAGCAGGATCTGCTCATCTGAAATCCAAGCGCATCTGGGCGCCCGGTGTTTTCCCTGACACCCAGGCCTGCCGTTGGTGCCCACAGACCCCCCAGAGCAGCCCTGTGTCCGCCCGGCGCAGAGAGGGAGCGGCTGCAGGCACGAGGAGGACCAAAGGCCCCCGGAGGGAAAGGCTGACCTACAGCCCGCACTCGGCCTACCTGACAGGAGGAAGCAGGAGGCGGGCGCGGCCAGGCTGCGGCTACTCTCCTCGCCCCTTCCCGGGAGGAGACCGAAGAGACACAGAAGCTACTCCTCTCGGAGACAGCCTCGCAAGAAAGCCTTGCGCGGCCTCAGCGGGGTTTCTCGCGAGACTACGATCGAGGCCGCGTCGAGGGGGACTTCCGCTGGGCCTCTTGCGAGACCGCGAACAACGGGTGGCCTCGCGTGACCTCGGTTGGGTCTCTCGCGGGATTACGACCAAGTGGTGGCTTCGCAGGGCCTGCCTGGTCTCGGGTCTCTCGCGAGACCGGGAGGAAGGGGCGGGCTGGACGCGTGACCATAGGAGCGCATGGCTGCCTCTGGCTCTCTCGGAGCTGAGGCCCTAACGAGGATAAGTATCCCGCGTACTGTCAGCCGAGGGCGCGTCGAGGCCTGTCCCTCCGCCAGGGATGCTGGCGGCTGCGGACGCTCTCGTAGACCCCAGGGCCACGAAGGACGGTGCGGGCGCCCGACCTGGCGCTCGGCTAGGCTCCAGTTGGTTCGCTCTGCGTCCGCGTGTTCTGTGCCGCTAGGCCGAGCGGTGGCCTGGAGACTTACCCGTTCTAGTCCCAGAGCCTGGAATGTGTCGCGTCACGTGGCAGAGGGGTCCTTGTCAAGGCCACTGAGGCGGGGGTGACTCGGGGAGGCCCCGGGGGCCCGGCGTCCTCACGAGGTCCTCATGAGAGGGAGGCAGAGAGCCGGGCGGACCCCGCGCTGCTGGCGGTGAGGATGAGGAGGGGCCGCGGGCCCAGGATGCGGCGCCTCTAGAAGCTGGAAAAGTGGGGAGACGGGTCTCCCTGGGGCTCCGGGGGGAACCGGCCCTGCCCAGGCCTGGATGTTAGGACTTCTGAGGCCAGAACTGCTTAGTAATAAATCTGGGTTCCTCGGCGACACTAGGTTTGCGGTGATTTGTTAAACGGCGACCAGGAAGTCACGAATCCGTCTTGGCAGTGGACCCCAGGGACCCGGGGGAGCCCGCATGCACAGGCCCAGCCAGCAATCACGCTGTGCCGCCTTTTATGGCTTTAATACAGGCACCTAGGGCACTGTTGGAGGCTGCCACATCTGCACAAGTAAAAGCGTTGCTTAGGGGAAGAGACGCATCCCCCAGCCCTGACCCTGTTTTTTCGCCCTTTCTTGCTGGCATCCAGGTCGCCTTCCCAGTGTGTAGGAGCCATGGAGCCCACCGCTGGTGACTTACAGCTTGTGCCTGGGACAGCAAAGGAAGTCCCAGCTCCCTACACCTCGTGCTGCCGCATGGCCCTCTGCGTTGTTGTGGCCACCAGCACCATCATGGTCACCCTGGGAGTCCTCATGGGTAAGTGGCTGTGGGCTTGCATGGGTTCACACACCGGGCAACTTGCACAAAGATGCTTAGAAGTGGCTCGGTCGTATCCACATTGTGATCCCGGAACCAAAGGGTTGAGCCTGCAAGTGTGGAATTGAAGGCAGGCCAGGAGCCTGAGGGCCTGGGGTGGCGGTCTGGGGTGGGTGGTACGTGGGAGGGGGCCAGGCACTGCATAATCACGTTTCCCACTGACCAGGTTTTCCAAGGAAGTTTTCACTGTGGGGTGAAAATGGAAACAGCAAAATGAACTCTTTTAAATTTTAAGAAATTTAAAAAGTACTGAAAAGTATACAGTGTAAGGAATAAACAGTGGCTTATGTTCCTACAATCCAAAGTGGGCCCCATTTCCTATTTTCTTTCAGTAGATAGTCATGTTATTTAGAGTTAACCATCCAAAATTATGGTCTCTGTACAATGTGGGGCTGCAGTTGTGAAAAATAAACAGAGGAAGCTCTTTTTTTTTTTTTTTTCAACGTTTATTTATTTTTGGGACAGAGAGAGACAGAGCATGAACGGGGGAGGGGCAGAGAGAGAGGGAGACACAGAATCGGAAACAGGCTCCAGGCTCTGAGCCATCAGCCCAGAGCCTGACGCGGGGCTCGAACTCACGGACCGCGAGATCGTGACCCGGCTGAAGTCGAACGCTTAACTGACTGCGCCACCCAGGCGCCCCGAGGAAGCTCTTTTTATATTTCAGTAGAATGATCTAGAGACGCCTACGTTTGGAAAAGTAGAGAGAGGTGCCGAATAGTAAGAAAGAACGTGTTTGCCTATGTGCATAAATTGTTTTCTGGAAGGGAGTTTCGGAGCCTAACTGACCCGTTACCTCTGGGGAGGACACAGGAGGGAGATTTGTCACCAGAGGCCCTTTGGTGGCTTTCGATTTTGAACCATGTGGATTCATTACACCCGTTCACAGTGTTGTCTTTTTGCAAAGTATGAAACCACTCACCGCAGCTGACCACAGCCTGCACTGGTTTTCCATGTGCCACCTTTGTGGCAGCAGCGACCATGAGTGGTTCACAGTCCACAGGTTTCCACACACAGACGCGTTTCCACGGATAACGCCTAGTGCTGTTTTGGGGGAATCTGTTATGTGTCAGCAGGGTCTGCAGACCCTGTGGGAGCTTGCCTTTTTCCTTCCACCATTTGTCCTGGATTCTCCCCGATGTTCGTATGGAGAGTTTAGACGGACATTCCCTGTGAGACCATGAGCTGTTTTCATCTGTCACCACCACAGACAGCGCTCAGTCCGGTGTTGCCTGCCTCAGTGCTACTGGGGCTGGTGGCCCTGAGCCCTGGGGACTTCTTAGGGTTAAATCCGTTAACATTAAGGGTGCCTGGGTGGCCCAGTCGGTTAAGTGTCCTTCTCCTGATCTCAGCTCAAGTCGTGACCTCAGGGTCCTGAGTTCAAGCCCCACGTTGGGCTCCATGCTGGGCAGAAGCCTACTTAACCCCAACAGACAAACAGAATTATTTAGAATTATGTAACATTTAAAAGTCAGTTCCTTTTCCCCACCAGCGATGTTTCATGGGCAGCTCACGGATACTGCACTGGACAGTGTGGATCTAGGACATTCTGTCATCACAGGAATTTCCGCTGGGCAGCGCTGCTCTGGAACAGGCTTATTCTGAGATGATAAGCTTCCTACAGTTTTATTTGGAGATGTGAAGGTCACCTTTTCATGAAAAAACATAACGATACAAAGGGGCAGTTTGAGGGAAAATGTTGCCATGTGGCAAAACTGTAAGCTGGCAATGCTATGTGGGTTTCCTTGATTCTTATATATAGTACAGATATGTTTATTATGCGCTTTATGCATATATTTGGAACATCTGGAATATATCTAGTGTGGAATATAGCCTGGCGTGTCTGACGGAGGCCCCCTAGTGGTTGTGGGAGTCAAATGCAGGAAAATTTGTGCCATGTGAGTGTGCACGTATGTGTAGGTGTGTGTGAGTGCGGCGTGTACATGTGTGTGGTTGTATAGGTGTGAGCACATCAGTGTCCTCACACTGGGGAGAGGCAGGGGGTGGGGTTTCACACCTGCATTCCAGAAGCACATACATTTTGGGGAACAGCGTAAATACAATCCCCATCAGGACCTCTGAAACTAAGGAAGGCTTTAAGAAGTTTTAGAATGTTTTCTTTAATTAAAATTCAAGGGGCGCCTGGGTGGCGCAGTCGGTTAAGCGTCCGACTTCAGCCAGGTCACGATCTCGCGGTCCGGGAGTTCGAGCCCCGCGTCGGGCTCTGGGCTGATGCCTCAGAGCCTGGAGCCTGTTTCCGATTCTGTGTCTCCCTCTCTCTCTGTCCCTCCCCCGTTCATGCTCTGTCTCTCTCTGTCCCAAAAATAAATAAACGTTGAAAAAAAAAAATTTTTTTAAAAAAAAAAATTCAAATGTGTCCCCTTCCCAGACAGCTCAAAGTGTTAGTTGGTAATGTTAGCCCTCAGGGAAGCTGGGGGTCGGGCCCCTGGGACCTGTGTACTATTTCTGCAGCTTCCTGTGTGTCTGTCATTATTTCCGAGGGAAAACAGAAAGGCTTAGCTGGCGTATAGAGTGTAGGCAACGTGGCCCACACTGAAGAACGTTCATTTCTCTTTATTTTTAGTTTCTCGAATGAGAAAAACCGTTGTTTTAGGAATTGGCTTACGATATATATATCCTGTGGTATTCATAAATATCGAAATATTTTTCTAGGTGAACATTCACTCACAATAAATAGAATTGGTACCCAGCTGTCACGGTTTATGTGGCTGCTACCTTCGTGTTTTTGTATTGCAGTTATGAGCATTTTTCACTGGTGTGTTATTTTGATCCATTCGTGGCAGAAACCCCCGTTTTCACGTTTTAGGTGGTTGCTGTTGTGTCCTTTTAAAACTTTGTGATGATTGTTACTCTTTGCTATTGTGTACTTTTTTTTTATATTTAAGATTTTATTTTTAAGTCATCTACACCCGTGGGGCTCGAACTCAGAACCCCGAGATCAGGAGTTGTGTGCTGTACCCACTGAGCCAGCCAGGCGCCCCTGCCACGTACTTTTTAAAATCGAAGTAGGGGCGCCTGGGTGGCTCAGTCGGTTAAGCGGCCGACTTCGGCTCAGGTCATGATCTCGCGGTTCACGAATTTGAGCCCCGCGTCGGGCTCTGTGCTGACAGCTCGGAGCCTGGAGCCTGCTTTGGATTCTGCGTCTCCCTCTCTCTGCCCCTCCCTCACTCACGCTCTCACGGTCTCTCTCTCAAAAATAAATAAACATTAAAAAAAATTTTTTTAATGGATAATTAAATAAAAGCAAAGTGGATTTTAGGGGCTACTGGTGGGTATACAGCGTAGTGGCGG